TCCTCCCTGGTTTGGGTAGTAGAATCGTCTTTGTCTCATAGAACAAGTTTGATTGGAACCTTTCCCCCCTCTTTTTGAGAACAGTTTATGTAGTAGAAGGATTATTTTTTCTTTAGATGTTTGATAGAATTAACTTGTAAATGCATCTGGACTAGGAATTAATTTTTTCCTTTTGGAGTTCATTTGTGGTTTGTTCAGTTTTCTCTTTCTGAGATTGGGCTGTTTAGAGTCTCAGTTTCCTATTTGTAAATTGGGTATTTTATACTTTCATAGGCATTCATCTATTTAAATTTTCTCTTTTTTACCATAAATTATGTATGATAATTTCTGATAATTTCCTTTATTTCTTCTCCATTTATTATGCTCCCTTATAATTTTTGATTTGGGTAATTTGTTTTTTTTCTCATATTTATCAAATTAGCCATTATTAGTTTGTCACATTTATTTGTCTTTTTAAAAAGCAGCTCTTCATTTTGTTTACTACTTCAATAGTTATTTTATTTTTTAACTTTGTTTATATCTTTGGTTCTCACAAATTTTTTTAGTTTATTTTGGAATAACTAATTTTAGTTTTCTGGTTTTTAAAATTGCATGCCTAATTACTTCTCTCTTTGTTAATCTCTGTTCAGAGTCATGAATTTTCTTCTAAATATTACCTTAGCATAACCTTATATCTTTTGGTTTGTTGTCTCATTATAATTCTCTTTAATATAATTATTATTTCTGTGATTTTTTTTCCTTTTACCTGATCATACTTAATATGCCATTGTTTTGTTTCTATTTTAGTCTGCATCTTTTGTTCATATTTCCTGCATTCATTATAACTTTTATTCCATCATAATCTATAAAAGATACATTTGATTTATCTGCCTTTCTGCATTTATTGTTGAACACGTGTCCTGGTATATGATCAATTTTTGTAAAGATGTTAAACATAAATATACTCATTAAGACAGTTTGTCCATTTTAAATTCAATTTAACTAATGATTGTTGAACTTCTAGTGAATGCCCAACATTGTTCTAGGTACTATGGAGTAAAACAAGAAATATAAGACATACTGCTTATCTTCATGGATGATCTAGATGGGGAGGGAAGACCTACACACATGAAACCATTAAGAGACAATGAAAAACTTAATATAATCAGATGCCATCAAGGCTAAATTAACCTAATTAATTTATTAATTATTAATTAATTAATTGAAAGCATCACACAGAGAATATCAACCAACGCACAGGGATGGGAAATGACTATGTACAGAAATACTGTGAATACTGACCTAATTTGATGGCCTGATTGATATGTGTTGGGAAATTAAAGATCCAGTGAAATAAAATGGGAGTTTTTGAATGCATGTATAGTGAGTATAGACTTGAATTGATAGATAATGAGGGGGTTACTCAAAATGGCTAAGATATGATGAAAATGATGTTTTGGCAAGATTAATCTGGCCAGAGAGTTGGTGAGGATTGTGATTACATGAGTCAAGGAAGCTAACTAAATTGTTTTTTTTAAATAATATTTTATTTTTTCCTTATGTATGTAAAAACAATTTTAACAATTGTTTTTTAAAATTTTGAGTTCTAAATTCTCTCTCTCCATCCCACCTCTCCCCCCTCCCTGAGAAGGTAAGCAATTTGATGTAGGTTATACATTTACAGTCATGCAAAATATATTTCCATATTAGCCACGCTACAAAAGAAAACATAGACCAGAGAAAAACCCACCAAAAAAATAAAATGAAAGTTAGTATGCTTCATTTGGCATTTAGATTTCAGCAGTTCTTTCTCTGGAAGTGGGTAGCATTTTTTGTCATGAATCCTTTGGGATTGCCCTGGAACATTGTATGGCTCAGAATAGCTAAGTAATTCACTGTTGATCTTCATACATTATTGCTATTCTCCTGGTTCTGCTCACTTTACTTTGCATTAGTTTATGTAAGTCTTTCCAGTTTTTTCTGAAATCATCCAGATTGTCATTTCTTATAGCATAATACAATTCCATTATAATCATATGCCACAATTTGTTCAGTCATTTCCCCATTAATGGACATCCCCTCAATTTCCAATTCTCTGCCACCACAAAAAGAGCTCTAATAAATATTTTGGTACGTATGGGTCCTTTTCCTTTTTTTTTTTAATTAGTTTGGGATACCAATCTAGTAGTGGTATTGATGGGTCAAAAGGTATGCATGGTTTTATAGCCCTTTGGGCATAGTTCCAAATTGCTCTCCAGAATGGTTGGGTCATTTCACAACTCCACCAACACTGCATTTATGTCCTCATTTTCCCACATCCCCTCCAACATTTGTCATTTTTTGGGGTCATATCAGCCAATCTGGTAGGTGTGAAGTGGTACCTCAGGATTGTTTTAATTTTCATTTCTCTAATCAATAATGATTTAGAGCTTTTTTATCTGACTATAGATAGCTTTGATTTCTTTTTCTGAAACTGCTTGTTTATAATCTTTGACCATTTATCAGTTGGTGAATGACTTGTAATCTTATAAATTTGACTCAGTTCTCTACATATGTGAGAAATGAGGCCTTTATTAAAGATGCTTGCTGTAAAAAAAAAAAAATCCCAGGTCTTTGCTGTAAATCAGTCAGAAGGTGCTGAGGATCCAAACTAAGGTGAGAATACACAGAACAACTTGACCTGTTTCCCTATCAGTCATGGAAAGATTTAAGTCTCTGCAATTTGTAAATGATGGTCTAGGTGGAAACGTTTCAGTCAGTAAAATCTCCCCTATACCTGCAAGAAAGTTGATGGTGCAGGACACGTAGAACTCTGTAAAAGAGAGTTCGACTCAATTCAGCCAACATTTATTTAACACTTACTATTTGTAAGGCACTGTGCTAAATAAAACCAAAAACAAAAACCAAAACCCGGTCTTTCCCTTTCAAAGAGCTTACAGTCTACTGGGGAGATACAATGTATATAAAAAGAGGCAAGTAGGAGGTACTTTTAGGGGAGGAGAAAGTGCTAACAAAATAGGAAATAGAGCAAAGAAGACATCACAAAGGAGGTGTTAGTGGCTTTGAACTTTTAAGGAAAAAGAAATCTGAGAAGCAAAGTTGGGAAGGGAATGCCTTGCAGGCGTTGGGTGTGGCTTGGACAAGTGAATCTTGAATTCAGGGAATTACTAGTAGTTCATTCTGGATGGAACAGAATTCTTAAAAGAAAGTAGTATGAGATATAGCTGGAGAAGTAAGTGGGAGCCACAGTGTAGACATTTGTGTTTTATCCTAGTAGGGTGGTACTGACAGTCTACGGCAAGACTGGTCAAACTTGGGCCTTCGAAAGCTTATTTGGATAGAAAGGGAAGAGACTGGAAGAAAGAAAATCAGTCAGGATGTTGTTATTGTATTACAGGCAAGCAATGATGGAGGCCCTCTACTTGTGTGGCCATTGTGTGAGTGATGGTAAAGGGATGGATGGCTTATAGGGTTGTGGATTTGAACTGATGAAAACTTAGCCAGTCATTGACTAAGTAAGGAGTGTAGGAGAGAAGAGAGTACAGAATGACTATTACTAAGACTACTAATCTGAATGATGAGGGGGATGGTGATACCTCTAATAAAAAAGGGGTGCTTAATAAAGAAACAGGTTGGGGGAGTGGGAGTGGGATTGGTTAGAGATAAGGAGTTCTGTTTTGAATATATTGAGGTGCCTGTGGGACATCCAGGTAGAAATGTCCAGAAGGTAGATGGTAATTCAGGATGAGATTTGTATGACTCATAATTATTTCCATGTTGCCTCCTGCATTCGAATGGAAGCTCCTTGAGGGAAGAGACCATGTTGTTGTCTTTCTTTAGATCCCCAGCAATTAACACAGTGCTGACACATAGTAAGTGCTTAATAAATGATTGTTGATTCATGGACACCAAGGAATTCAGATGACAAGGAATTTGATCCTCAGATCCCAGGGACCAAGCTGAATTTTCATGTGACACCCTTGTAGAAGTTATATCTCAAGATGGTGATGTACACTTAGAAAATATCCCACCCAGGACACAAGACCTTGGCTTTGTGCAGGGTTGAATGTCCAAGGGCCTGATCCTTTTTGCCTTCACCTTCAGTCTGCTAGCCTGAGGTCCCAGTAGGACAACTAAGACTTTACCTATGAGTTACCACAAAACATCACTTTTTGATAAGATATAGCTTTCCCAAAGTGGCCTACTCTCTTTGGGCGGAAGGCACTGCATACGTCAGAAAGAGAAGAATCAGTGTCACAATATCAGTAGCTGGGCTTCATCTCAGGACAGACCATTATACATTTAAATTTTTTTCTTTTTTATTATTAAGAACACATACCAACATTTCAGTAAATAAAGAATAAGCAAAAAAGAGGATTACATGTGAACTTATGCCTTATTATGCATAATTTTGTTTGTTTTAAGTAGATAATTAGCTTAACAAGATAATGACAGAACTTCCCTGCTTGTCTGTGTCCCTTTCTGAAGTTCCTTCTGCGTATTTTTGAAATGTTTCATTGATATTTTTTCCTTTTTTTTGCATCACTATCACTACCCACCCACTTCACCTACCCTGCTCCCAAATAAAAGCCCTCTCTTTTAACAAATAAACAAACAACACAAATCCACTAATTGACCAAATTTAAAAATGTATGTCTCATTCTGCACTTCCAACCCATCATATATCTTCCAAGAGGTGGGAAGAATGCTTCATTGTTAGTGTTCTGAAGTCATAACTGTTCATTGCATGACTGAATTGCTTAACACTTTTAAAATTGTTTTCCTTTGTGTTACTATACTTGTATAAATTGTTCTCCTGGTTCACTCACTTTACTTTCCATTGGTTCATAGACATTTTCTTTGTTTTTTTTTTAATTCTGGCATCTGTTGTGACAATATATGTTTTATAATAGATACCAATATCTCACAATTTATATAGCACCTTAAGGTTTACAAAGCACCTTTCTGCCACTGTGAGGTAGATATACAAGTGTTATTATGCCTATTTTTCCATTTTGCAGATAAGGAAACCGAGGCTCAGCAAGGTAGAATTACTTATTCAGTGCAACATAGTTGGTACCACTCCAGATCTGAACCCATGTTTTCTGGATCCAAGTCTAATGCTGTTCAGCCACTATCTCTAAGTAGGTAGGTAGAGGGTTAGTGTATCAGTGCCCACCTAGGCACAACCAGGCTATTTCTTGGAGGTGTCTAATATTTGCTGTTACACTCCTTACTTTTCAAACTTGTGCAGGTCGCTGGGAAAGAATGCTGATTAAGAATGGGAAACAGAAGTAGTGCTGAGAAGAAAAGATGGACAGGTAGCAAAGCGCGAGGCTTTGAAACTGAGGAGGAGGAAGTTCAAGATCACCACAAAAAAGAGAAAATTGTTCTAATCTTAGAAGAATTAAAGGGTGGGATTTTTTAAAATCTAAAAGTGGAGAAAACATCTTTTTTCAAACCCTGAGAACAAAGGTAGCATTCACAAGAGCCTATCGAACACAACAGCAAATGATGCTTGATGATATTGTGATAAGTAAAAGCCATACTAATTAGTATGTTTGCAAAACAAACCATCCCTATGCTTTCATATCATCTACCCCACAGCTGCAAACTTTCTTCACTGTTTGTGTTACAGGGAAATAAAGAAACTTTCCAGTAAAGCCTGTAAGTGTAGAGTTATTTCTTCATTTCCCTTTGGGGGATATGTTTTCTTTTCAAAGAGGAGAAATAATAAATTCATTGTTTGACCTGAAGTAAGAAGGTTAAGCAAAAATCAATAGACCTTTGATATTCTCTTGTCTGAAATGAGCATATCTAGAGACAACACAGGAAAAAATGTTAAATTAAAAAAGCCTTTCAATTTATTTTTGTAAAGCAGATTTTAAAAGCTTGTGAAGCCAAAAGCTGTAAATAATACAGAAGGGGTTGTTGGGTTGTTTTTTAAAAAATTTTATCACAGTTACTATAAAATTTTAAGATGTATATTGGAGATTGAACATCTGTGTCAAGTTTTTTTTTTCCAGTTAAATGATAGCTACTTTGAAAAATCTTCTGGCAAATAAAATAAATCCCAGCAGAGTAGTGAAAATATATGTTCTAAACATTTATTCAGCACCAGCAATTCAGAAAATTAATCTTTGTTTCACCTAGCAGCTGATCCCTGTGCCTGGGGACACCCACCTCTGCATACATATTCATGATTTATGTTTTCTGTGGGATTAAGTGCTGGTCTTGTCCCTTCTCTGGATTGTTAGGTCATTACGTTCAGGAATCATTCAAAAATCAACATTGTAAAGCCCTAGTTCTAACAATTCAGTATTTATTAAAAGCCTGCTATAGAAAACTGTACTGTCTTGAAAGGCATCAATGTGATGCTTAAACTATATGTTGAAGGAAGTAAAGGATTCTGTAAAGTGGTAGTAAGATAGTGATGCATTCCAGGCATGGAAGGCAGCCAGTGTAAGAGCATGGAGATGGGCTGTAGACTGCAGTGTGTGAGGAACAGATAGCACCATTTTGGCTGAACTGCAGAGTGTGGGAGTAATGTCCTATGATACTGGAAGGATAACTGGGGCCAAACTGTGAAGGTCTTTCAGACCAAACAGAAGGAAGAGTTTATATTTTATCCTAAAGGCAATAGGGAGCCTCTAGAATTACTGATTCACGGTCAGATGTGCACGTATGGAAAATCATTTTAGTTTTTGTTTGAAAGTTGAATCAGAGACAGGAGAGAATTGATAGTTAGGAGGCCATCACATTAAGCCAGCTGATAGTTGATGAGGGCTCAAACTTAGGTGGTAGCTGTGTGAATAGAGAGACAGGGATTGATTCACAAGCCATTGAGGTAGAAATGTCAAGGCCTGGCTACTGGTTGTATATATAGAGTGGGAGAGTGGAAGTTGAATATAACATAGAGTCTATGAACCTGAGAGACAAGAAGAACGGTATTCAAAAAATTCTGTTTTGGACATTTTGAGTTTGCAGTGTCTTTGGCACATCTAGTTTGGAATGTCTAATAGGCATTTAATTAATATGGGACTAGAGCTAAGAAGAGAGCCTACGGTGGATCTGTAGATCTGGGGGTCATCTGTGTAGAGATAGGAATAATAGCCATATTTTGTATAGTACTTTAAATTTTGTCAGATGATTTACATGTATCATCTCATTTGAGCCTGACCCTGTGAGTTAGGTGCAAAAATTTTGTTATCCCCATTCTGCAGATGAGAAAACTGAGGCTAAGAGGTTAGATGACTTTCTCACACTTATAATACCAGTCAGTGTCACGGGTAAGATTTGAATCTAGGCTTTTCTGACTCCAAATCTAGCATCCATTGCCCCTGATCTCAAGGCAGTTACCGTACAACCCGGGGGCGGGGTGGGGGGAGAGAAGACAATGAACAAATGTTGTTCGTCTTTTGTTTCTGAAGAGCACCACAGGTGATATCTTGACTTGTGTGTGAATTGGATTTAAGTGAGGCAGAGTTGCATAAAGTCATCAGCCTTATTCTCTCTTCCTAAATTGGGGAAGTTCAGTGACAGGACAAAAGTCAAGATGACTGGTGATGACCCAGTGGATGACCTTGGTATCTTGGATGTCTGACCAAGCCCTAAGCACTCTACAGCGCCTGCTTCAGCTGCTTTCGTGGCCATTGGAACACATTGTTCTCATCTACCCATTCCACTGTAAAAAGTCTTCACATGCTTGGGGTAGACATCCTCCGAGTTCATTAACAAGTTTGAGGCCTTTTGGTTACCCTCAGCCTGGTTTGACCTGTCTGCTGAGATGGTTTACCAGGGTGTGGCCATGGTGCATGCTACACCTTCTTAGAATCCTAGGTGAGAGTTGGGTAAAGGTGGATACTAAAGGTGGAGGAGCAGCTCTGAAAGGCTTGGCAAGCCATCACCCCAGAGATGCCTGTCCTCCCTGAACACCCCATACATATTTGTTCAGTGAACAAATACTGAATAGAAAAGAGTAAAATAAACCAGAATCTTATTCAGCTCTTCACTATTCCTTCTCCCCACATATAGTTCATAGCTTAATAGTGTTATTCTTTTCTTCATAATGTGTCTAAATCCTACTCTTTCTTCCACATTTCCTCAGCAAAATACTCTGGTGGTCTCTGAATGGAAAGTGGGCATTTCTGATTCTTGTATCTCTCCTTGTGTTCTAGTCTGCATTTTGCTGCTAAAAGCCCTTAGTCTTCCCTGCTCTCCTGAGAGACTTGTGTTCCATGAACACCACTTCCTAGGGCCCTGCCACAAACTACCACCCCCTTATTTTATCTCTTCTCCGCTGTCCTGACAGGTGATCCAAGCTGCCCTCATCCTTCTCTTTATTAGGTCCTCTCATTGCTGGCCCAGCACATTGGCACATGTCACTTGCTATGCATGGAATGTCCTTGCCCCAGTTTGCCAACACTCTTCTACCTCCTTCAAAGACCTCTTAAAAGTCTCACCTTTTCTGTGAAGCTTCTCGGACTGAAGGGATACAAATGGAACGTAATTCAGTCACCTCTGGGCACAAATTCTATGAGTGATTACAGTCTATTTCTGTGCTTCCAACGTGTTTAGTCTTCAGATTGCTATTACATCCTATCTCACTTTGTCCTGTGGCCTTTTCTATATTTATCTTTCTTTCATCTGTAATGATATTTACTTATTCCACTACAATTTTCTCTAGGACAAGGATTGTGACTATTCACTTTGTTTATTGTAGCATTAAACATAAAGCATATTAGTGTTTAATCAATACTCCTTGATGGTGATGATAAAAATGTTCTATAAGAATCAGATTCTTTTATCAAACACTTTCTGTCTTTCAGTCATGTCCAATTCTTTGTGACCCCATCTAGTGTTTTCTTGGCAAAGATATTGGAGTGGTTTGCCATTTCCTTCTCCATATCAAACACTAGCCAAGCCCAAAATTTCCTTCTTGAAACTGCATTTTAAAAGTTAAAGGCAAACATTTAAATCATGTATAAAACAAGGGAGTAACTAGCCAGCACTCACCATGTGCAGAGTAAGCCAACTTTTAAAAAATACTCATATGCAATTCTCCTTGAAACTAGTAAGAGTTGAGTAGCTCTCTAAGGAAATAATTTGAACTACTACTAGAAATGCACATCAAAGAGCATCAGTGCAGGAAATGCAGGTGAAAATATCTCAAATCCATTAGCAGCAAACGTGCTGCTATATAAGGGTATAGCCTTGAAAATGTTAGCAATTTTCACAAAAGTATTTTTCACATTTCTTTCAGTCTAATCAAATCACTATGGAGATTTCTCTCACTTTATACAATAATGTGGCTCAAAAGTTGCATGTAAGCCAATTCTTTTTGTTTTTAATTGAATCATAGGTGACCTGCTTTGTGTTTCTGAATTTTCATTTATCCAGCTGGCCAGAAGTGAAGCATACTGGGAGCAGTACTGATAAGAGGAGCATTTGCTGATTTATGTTGAGCTAAATCATATAATTATTGAACATTAGAGCTAGAAGGGACCCTAGAGATCATTTAGTTTAACCTCTTCATTTTATAACTGAAGAAATTTAGTCCTAGGAATGTTAAGTAACTTGCCCAGTGCTCATCATACACATAATGAGATATATATATATATGCGCACACACAAACACACACACACATACATACATACATACATGCACACACACACAGAGTTAGTAGAAGGGCTGAGCCTATAATCCAAGTCTCCTAACTTCCAGACTGTTGAGGTCTCTACACATGTCAGAGAAAATACTGGCATAAAGACAAACAAGTCAAAATTATTTCTTGCATAATTTCAGAGTCAGATGGGCCCTCAGAGGATACCTGCTTCATCCTGTACAGGAAAGAGAATTTCTTTCACAGCATAGTAGTTTCATTCTATTTTTTGCTTGAAGGTGTCCAATGAGGAGGAAACCACCTCCCAAGGAAGCCAGTTCCTCTTAGATGTGGTTTACATCAAGCTTCGATTTGACTCCTTGCAATTCCCACATGGTTCTACCCCCTGGAGCAAGCAGGAGGGGTATGATAACTCTTTCATGTGACAGCCACAAGTACCTGATAGTAGTCATTCCCTCCTTACATCCCTAGTCTTTTCTCAAGGTCTAATGCTGAATGGTCAAAATGAAAACCATTTGAGAAACCTCCCCCCCAAAGAGTACTTAAATTAAAGTCCTTCAGTGAATCTGTCATCTTATCAATGTGATAGTCCCTCCAGTGATGCAGCCTACAGCCCACCCACAGCTCTCATTCTATGTGATTATTGCCCATTTCTTCCCACAAATTCTCCATACAAGATCTATCTAATAAGCTGGAGGCCTTCCTAAACCCTAGAAGAAATGTAGTCCAATCAACCAATCATGAAGCACCTATCACAGAATCTGAGAATTGGAAGAGACAGCATTGGCTACCAAGTTCAGCCTTTCCCTTTTCTGTGCTAAGCACCAGTCCAGGCACCAAACTAGGCACTGGGAATGAGGACATACAATGGACCCATGATTTTATTTGCATATGGAACTCCTAAATGATAAAACACAATCTACCAATTTATAGCCTTGACCTTTGTTGCCTAGAAAACAAAGGTCAAGAGTCACTTAGTCAGTACATGTCAGAGGCAGTACTTGATTTCCTGGCTCGGACACCAGAGCTCC